TTACGCCGTCGGTTGCTCTCTAATCCATAACCGAAGTCGACCGAAACCGACCGTTGCTCCCCTTAATCTGTTCTGAGGCATTTTGGATGGACAAACGCATGCATACCTTCCTGTACTAAGACATTCTGGACTTCCTTAAAGTATATTCTACTCATGAGTTTCCCCAGAACACTCTTTTCCAGCCAACTCAGTTCTTCCCCTGATATCTTACCATTAAACACATACTGTGGTTCCTCATGTCCAGTTACGATTTTCTCGTTTGCATATTCGCGTGATTTGCCCACGCATTTCATATTTTCATATTCCTTTTGCAGTGCCCGAGAGCACTGCTTTGCGCCACCCTCATTTACTACATTATGTTGATGATCAGTCGTCCTTTCCAACACCTCGTTGTAAGTCCTGTGATCCCGACTGCTTGCGGGTACTCTCCCAATTTCTAACCCTCCTTTAGTTGCACACTCACGATTTGTGAACCTATCAGTCCAGTCAACGCTTACCTTCTTCAACCCTATTTTCCTCCCATCAATAATACTGTCATTTCCTTGCATGATAGCTTTATTTATTTCTGCTTCCTCCTTAAATCTGATAGAAGCAAAGGTCGTCCCTAAACCTCCTTCTCCCACACTGGTTTCGGTATATACATCCATCACACAACCATGCAAGTTAAAAGACCTCTCTTATTGCATTCCAAGGGACCCTAACACTCAAATTATCCACAAAAACTGTAAATAGTTTATCTTTCCAACTCCAATTTTTCCTAGGATCCATCCCTCTCTTTCTCTTTCTTTACTTTAATCCTTGATCAAGATGCATACAATAACCAAGTGTCAACTAAATACCCAAAAAAATGAGAGTACTAATTTCGCTACAATTTTTTTTACTACAATATTACAATTCCTTTTAATAGAATATTACAATTTATCCAACCACAACAAAAAATTATCTGAGAGTCAATCATTGGGGATATTTTGAACACATAACAATGGTAAGACCACTCCATCTAACTAATTGATTTTAAGTTAAATATATATTTTAAAAATTAAACATGGTCTCAGAGCAAGAGTAACCCTAATTCATTAGCCCCTATATGCCAAGTTCATATTAGCCAAAGTAGACCCTTCTTCCCTACACATGAAGTCATGCCATATGTTAGATCCATTGCTCTACCCATAAAGGAGACTATTAAAGTAGTGATTGATTTTATGTTATTTGGTTATCCTAAAAATTGAACATAGTATTAAAAAAGAATTGTCTCAGTTATTGTTCCTTTGGTAATAGGTTTGTTATTCCTACATGTGACAAGTTCATTGTTCTTCCATATAAAAAAGAATATTAAAAGGGTGATAAAAAATGCATACTTTTCAAAAAAAAAATTGATGATAACATAATTTCACATCAATTAAGTTTAGGATATTGTGGACACAAAAATATAATAAAGACCACTCAATCTAAAACGAATTGATTTTAAATTGGAAGGATCATCATATAAATTCGATAAGTACCGTGTGGTAATGACAATGCCAACAAATGCTAACTCTTATTCATTTTTTTTTTGTCATCAAAGCTTTTGTTTTGTTTTCAACCATCTGAATTTGTTAATTTGTATTGTATAATTTATCTAATATTGGGACCGCAATTCGTTGCAGTTTATTTTGACTTTTTATAGTCCTTTGAGCAATTGAGACATAAATGCTAATCACAACTGCAAATAAAATTGACAAACACAATCTAATATTATAATTTATCTTAAATTAAAATTTAATTAATATCAAACCAACTTAAAAAAAATTACCAATGATGAATGACTTAAATAAGCATAATAAAGAGCTAAATAAAATTATAAAAAAATTAAATAAACACATCAAATAAACAAAAATATCTGAAGCGTAAAATTATATTCAAAAAAGAAAAAAAAAACCATGATAAGAGCCCAAACAAAAACTCAACCTAAAATTCATCCAAAATCCTTAAATGCGTCCAAAAAATTCAACTTTCAATCTTTTCTACGAAATGTGTAGACTATCCTTAAAATTAAGAAAATTCCCTTGGTATCCTTTGTGGACATGTATCACCAGATAAATTTCGTTTTAGGACAGGAAGACGACCACGATGACAAATTATTTTATCACTTCTTTTATTTTATGAATTGCAATAGTAACTCTTGAAAGTTGAAATCAAAGCCTACTCAATTAACAATGTCATCTATTATTTTAATTCTTTATTGTTACTTTTAACCATTGTTAATTGTTGATCAAGAATAATGTGATGTTATAGTGTGCCCAATAATTCGAAGAGATTTTTTTAGGAGAAATTGAAAGAGTATATCTATCAACATTATTATGTGTGTTTCCCCCTACTCCATGATTCTTGTCAAATTACATAATAGTTTTCCACAACTAAAGTGAGAATTATGTCCCATTAATGTAGCTTTCAACCAAGTTACAAGGAAGTGGTAATAATAATTAACATTATCATGTCCAGAGTTTGGTCCAACACCAACATCTTCTTTGCCTGAATTGATAATGCATGGGACCTAATTTTGTTACCATTGTATTCCTCTAGCTTCGCACGATTAGAGAAGACTTTGACTTGACAGATCCATCAATCTTTTTACTTCTATTATTATTATTGACTTTTGTAAATGTAAAAGTATTTTTTTACAGGATAATTAATTAAGTATTTTAGCAAAATTTATTTAGAGGTTACGTAATAAAATATATTAAGATATAATCATGGGCAGTTTGTTACTAGCTAGAAGATGTTATCGAATAGTATTAATTACATAATTTTATGAGGGGTTAGAGCTTGATAATAGTTTATGTTGGTAATTTGCACTCTTTTTTTTTTTCGGCCAAGGAAACAAGAAAGATTTTATTGCTTCTTCTTTGTTTATAAATATAAATGATTTGGTGTTGTAATCATATAAAAACAAAGAGTTAGCTTAGGGTGGCTGCCGTATTTCTTGGTTCGGATGTGATGAATGATTCATCAAGAGACCTTTGACTTGGCGTCAACTGATAAATAAATCATTTCCAAGTGAGGGAAATTCTCATTGTGTTGTCGCCGGTACGCACTTGCCTATTAATGGAAAAGGTCTTGAATTTTTTTCTTTAGTATATTTAGTATATTGCAATGTTAATTGGTGATATAAATAAGGTACACAATTAATTCACTATATTTATATATAGTTAAGTATTACCTTACTCATTTAGGCTTGTGAGCTTGCCTTGACTTAATTTGGATCACAGCATGATTTTTAGACCAGGATTATTATTGTAATAAATAATTATTTTAATTCTAATTCTAATATATTAAAATTATTAACATAATTTTTTAAAATTTTAATAATAAATGCAATTTAGATGAAGTGATAGATTTTAGAAAGGACGATCAAGCTTAAACCGAATCATGAATACCTCTAGTCCTTAGTGCTTAAATCTTTACATTATCTTCCGCCCCCGAATTTAGTCATCTTAGCAATAATCTTAACCACAAAGACATAGCAATATTTTAAGTCTCATTATTAATCATTACTAGAGTGGTCCCCAGTCCGTCTAGGATTTTTTTTTCAAATATTTATGATAAAAATAATTTTAAATTAAAAATATTATAAATAATAGTAAAAATAGTAAAAAGGAGTAATTTTAAATTTAAAAAAACTATAAATAATAGTAATAATAATAAGTTAAAGATAATTATTTTAAAGTGATAACATTTTTTATATTTTTCCTCATAGCTTGTTAGAGCAAAAAAAAATTTTTAAGTAATTTTTAATTTTTGAAAAGATTTAATTTTTTATATCTTTATATCTGTCATCGTTAATATAATAATATTTTTTATTATGATAATTCACAATAACGAAATAAAATCAGATAGACTGAAATTACTCTTATATATCAATTACACTCATTGAAATTTTTTAATTTTAATGATTTAATTTTTTAAATTATTCTCAATTTTAATTACTAGTTTTTTTATCTTATAACTGTATAATTAATTAGAATTAATGCACTCAAAAATAATTTTAGGATCCCAATATTGTTGGTAAGAGCTTGTTAAATTTATTATTTTAGTTTTATTCTTACCTTTGAAAGTAATTTCATAAATTTAATTCATGTCAAATTTTATATAAATAAAACAAAAAATAAAAGATAAAACAAAGAACTAGAAAATATTTCAATTATTATTAGGTTTAATCCAAATCTGCAAGGTCGACAGCTTATCAGAGTTGGACTTGGGTGGACTCGACCCGCATTACTTTTTCCCTTTTTCTATTTCTTATTTACCAAAATTACGTTGTTTTTGAAAGTAAACTTCAAAAGTCTTCTCAATCTTTGACTACTAACACCATTAGCCGATCGTTAAAAAAAAATTATACCAAATACTATATAAATATTTTATAACTATTGATTAACAGTATTAATAATTAAGGAACTAAACCCATTATTTTAAAACAAAAAGCACTCAAGTATCTTTTTGAAATATTTTGAATAAATTTTTATATTTTACCTATAATTTTGGTCTTCTTGTAAAAACTTTAGTCTAATCCTAACTATAAAACCCTTTTTCTTTCTTCATTTTTGCTTTCCTCTTCTTCTCCCACTAACTCAAGCAGCCAACCCCTTTCTCTCATCCCTCTCTCCCTTCCTCGATGCCGCCGTCGTCGACCTTGAGTTTTCTGGCAACCGCTCCTTCTTTCCTAAAATCTTAAGTTATCCACGTAGATGCACTTAATTTATGAAGGCAGAATAAGACCAAATGGAATATTTTTTTATTTATGTGATATATATGCATGAGGCAATGGATGATTAGACAATGCATTAATTAATTGTGACCAATTTCCCTTCACTAGATAACAAGTGATTTTGATTTTCACAAGGAAGAAGTATGTACATCGTAGAAAACAGGCCTGCGTCTGATTAAGTAATTAACCCCACACCTTCTAATTGAGTGTTGAGCACTTCCTTTTTCCATAGGTCAATTCTAAGATGATCATCAAATTAAAGAAGCAGCTTTGAAGTGGAGCAATTTGTTGCACAGCTTAGCCAGCAAGATATCAATCCCTTGGTGTCTGCTCGAGGCTGTGAGTTGTTCCTTTCCCGTAGCTGTACAACTCTCACAAACTCATCTGAGCTCAAATTCCCATCACGATTTGTATCAAACACGTGGAAGATTATGTCAACCACACTATCCGTAATTGCTATTCCACAAACCTTCAACATTCATATAACACAGAACACTTAGTCTTTACGAAAGAGATAAAAATTATAATAATAATTAGGAAGTTAAAGAAGGTACTAGCTTGCTAGACACATGCATGCATAAAGACGGCAAGACAGTTGAGAGCACGTACTTGAGATGCAGCTCGTTGGAAATCCTTTTTCGTTAACACCCCATTCACTTTTCCATAACTGAAAATGGCTAGAGAAAATGATTGCAATCTTTTCCGTAGCTCTGCAAAATTTTTGAATTCTTCAAATGTAATCCGCCTGTCTCTAAGATTTGATTCGTTGTCAAGTTTATCAACGCGATCAAGCAGCTCGTTTATGTGGCTAATATCAGCAGAGGCAACCATTGACAACGCAAAATCTTTAGCTGAAATTGTACCATGTATTTTGTAGTCGTAATGGGCAAACTCCAGCTTCAAGATCTACAAAATTCAGAGATATAATTTAGTTTCCGCCAAGTATAAGTCAAAAACTGAAGAGAAAAAATTAAATTAAGTTATTGATTATATTTGCAACTTTTCCCTATTAAGGTATAAAACAAAGGCAAAACTGCCTTTTAAAAAAAAAGAAAGAAAAAAACAAGGTAAAACTACAGAAATATAATTCTGAGAGGATATTTGATCAAATGTTGATTACCGATTAAATCAATGAAAATAGGATTTAACTTTTGAGAAAGATCAAAGCAACAAAGAATCACATACTTCATCATGTAAATCCCGTAAAAATTGGACAAATGTGTCATGTTTTAGACATGTCTTGCCATCTCTTCCAAAAAAGTACTCCACCAAGCCCCCATTCTCTACAGGCTGTGTGACTTTGAGGCCAAGTCTTCGTCCATCCCTGTGGCAAGCCCCTTGTCTATTTTGTTCTCGCATCAAAGCCATCACTTTCTTGAATTCTTCCCTATCTATTTCTCTGTTAGTAATGGAAATATTGTGATTTTTTTGTTGAAGTGAACATATAATCAGTTAAGTAAAACCAATAGGGATAAAAGAAATAAGCAGCAAAAATTCATTAGAACAAGAAGCCGAAAAACCAATATGACAGAAATATGGCTATGTTCGTTAATCTTTTCTTTGGAACCCTAAAACCACTTAATTATTTTGTTGTTTAATTGATGGCAATGACGTATTGAGTAATTCTATCTACTTCCATCCTATTTGTGAAAAAATTATATACCTATTAGTAACATGTAGCAGTCTAGCAGAATTATTGAAGGATGATGAAACCTAGAAAGCCATCATGGAAGAAGGCCTTGCTTTTAGCCATTGAAGGATACCCTGACTATAAGAGTTAATGGCAAAAATTATACCACACAAAAGTTTCATAATGTAACTCTTTTTAGTGATAATGAGTTCAAATGAAAAAATCATAAGTTAAATCCTACTATAGCAATTTAGTAAAGAATATAAGAAATAAAACTTTTCAAGAACTTTCTGAATAATATTTTATAAATATAATGATAGGGAAGAAAATCAACAAAATGATTAAGTAAGAAAGGCAAAAGCATTGTTGAATGATTAGAGTATTTGCATCCACAGAGGACAATATTGAACTTTTCGTTTTTTTGGTATTTGGTTACCCACCCATCATTTTTATGGTCGAACATCTTGAAAGCCACTGAGAAGCTTGATTCAGGAATGCTAAGAAGTGTGACAAAAACGATGTACCTGCAAGCGTTGACAACGAAAAGATTACTTGAGGATCTTAATTTTTAACATTCAAGAGCTTCATTGTATAGTGGTTTAGAGTTATTCAAAACAGGTTCATGTAATTGAGGAAATTTCATATATAGGCAAATTAGGGTCAAGCTTGAAGAGACAATCGAAACTTACTCGGGAAAAGATATGAGTCCATCATTGTTGGTATCAAAAAGCATGAAAAATTGTGAAGGGGGACAACGTAACTCGCCAGGGACGCGTTCCCCTCTTAGAAAACCCTCTCGAACACGATTTGATTCCGATGGAGGAAATACAGGAACTAGTGCCCGCATCAAGTCTGCTGGTGTCATAAGAACGTCTCCTGCAGGGGTTCTATGTGATGCAAAGTAATTGAAAACCTGATTGATAGACATAGTCCGTAGCTTAAGGATTTTTCCAAAAATAAAACAAAATGAAAATGGAATGAAATGAAATGGTGAAAGCTACACAATGTTATACCCAATACCAGGATGGAGAAGGAGCTAGAACTTAAGCTAATGTTCATCGATTAATTCAAGGGATGGTAAAGTTAATGTCTAGCTTTTTATTCTTTTTTTTTATCAAGAATTAGAACTCAATTATGTTAAGAATCCCTTATGGTCAAAGTGCCATAACTTTGTTATGAGTATAAAAAGGGGCTTGTCCCTCTCGAACTTCAGGATGGACATGAAAGTTCACATCCATTAGATAACACTATATAATAAATTCAAAGCTAATTATAATTATCCTATGCAATTATCTCTAATTACTTGCCCACCTAAACATCTATTCAGACTTACCCTGCATATTATACGCTGAAATACAATGTCTTTTGCTCTAAAATGTAGTGCTGTTATGACAATTTGGTCAGGGATTACTGCATAGTTCCTACCTTTTCAGGAGGACTTTGCAGTCGTATGCGTTTCTCATAGTTGAAGAAAACTCTTCTCCTGTATGCTTCTGAAACATTAGAGGAAAAAAATATAATCGCATTCCAGCGTTTAATGAAGAAAATGTAAAAATGTATAGCAAATGATTGAAACTTGCTGCTTCATCAATTCCCATGATTACCTCCGACGAGAAACTTGGATTTCTTCTGGGGAATCGCATGTTCAAACCGATCATCACCATTCATTGCCCATGTCGCCTCCTTCGGAGCATCCGCAAAAGAGACCAAAGAATTCCTATCAAAAGAAGAATGGGACAAGTAGCTAAAGCCCAAACTAGACCCAATAATCAAAACCCCAGAAGAGACTGATCTCAGTAACAAGAGCAGCAGTTGCTCTCCACTCTTGTTGTCACCAGAGCCAGACCCACCGAAGGACGGTTTCACCAAGCTCGATGAAGACAAACCAGAGCCTTGTGATTGGTTAAACACCGGACGAACAATAGTATTCGACCGTTGATTTGAAAGCACTGGCTTGATTAGTAGTAAGGATTTCCTTAGAGATGGCAAGGAGAACATAATATGGTTTGTCTTATTGTACGCTTTGGTGCTCAATTTGATTTCGTTTTAGCTGATAAGGAAACCTTGAAAACGTTTGCTGGGTTGGGAAAAGGATGGAATTTATAGAAAATTCGGATGATGGTTCGTTAAGCACGGTTGATTTTGAACGAGAAAAATGGCGGTCTTTTAGAGCTTGATTTAGAATACTTTATAACGGCCTTTTCAAAAGCTGGTTGATGCCTTGATGGTTTTCAGTCACTTAAACAGCCCTTCGTCCTTTTTTATTAGCTCCGATTTTCTTTCTTACCAAACAACATCTTAGTGTTACGTGGGAGCGAAATTCATTCATCCTCATTTAGCTTTTGAATTTAAAACGACAAAAAAAAATGCAGAAGGAAATTTAATTTTCTTGGGCGCCACAACAAGCTTATTAATTTTGTCTCCGATTAATTATTAGTTTTTTAACTTTGGTGGTAGATCCGAGCATTTCCATTTTTTTATAAAATGGAAAAAAATAAAAAAAAACTAATTTCCATTTTTTAACTTTGATTAAAAAATGAAAAATAAATTAATTTGAAATGGTAGTCAAATATAATATAATATATATATGAGAAATATACTTAACCAAACATGATTTCATTGTGTTACTTTTTTTTTATAAAAAATTGCTTTGTTTTGATAATAAAAATTTGAAGCTTCTCATCCCCTCCATCGACGTCTCCAAAATTACTTTGTTTTGGTATGAGAAAGCTACCAAAAAAATTATTAGCAAGGAACTAATAATAAAAATAGAATTCAATATTACCAAAATTGGTAACTAGATATATTTTATCATCCTTTGGAAAAGTTATAAAATTGGTAACTAGAGTAACATATGTTTTATTTTCGGTCCAGCCCAGTTGGTCAAGCCTAGCCTCTATAAATATGTGGTTGAACCCCCGCCTTGGCCCGCCATTGGAACCCAACTGATCAGCCTATAAATAATTATTCTAGAGTGAACACTGATGTCTGGGACATTTATTCTATCATATGGTAGTTCTCTGGTGTTTAATTGATGTACATGGGACTCAGATTCAATTATTAGTTTTTATTTATTTCCTCATATTGAACCCTCAAGACATCCACATAAGCTTTTCCACGTAGCTCGCGGGACAAATAACCCTTGAAGTAGTCAGCAACCCCGATTCTCCTGAACACTGCTGGAGTTTGTGGAGTAACGAGGCTTGGTGCTGGTCCCATATCTCCATCCAATTTCGGGCTGTAAAATGTAGCAATTGAAAGCCTTTCTTTGACTGAATTAACGGTCGCACGGTGCTCAATGCTACGGTAAATCCCATTGGAAACAATCTGCAAAACGACATTACTCTTCATTTGAGGAGCAAATCTATTTTCATTTACCGAAACTCTCCAATTAGAGTTGAAGAAAATGATAGACATCAATTACCTCCATTATGTCTCCGATATTGATCACAAAAGCATTTGGAAGGGGTTGAACAGGAATCCATGTCCCATTTTTCCTTATCTGGAGGCCCTCCCTCTCATTGATTTGGAGTAGAATGGTGAGGCCAACAGCATCAGAGTGAGAGTTGAGGCCAATTGCAAGCTCCGGCTCTGGACATGGCGGATAATAGTTCATCCTCATCGCTTGATGCCCTTCTTCAAACAGAATTTTCATGTCATTAGGATCCATCCCTAGAGCTTTTGCCATGAGGCCAAGTACTGTCATGGCAAGGTTTCTCAGTTCTGCTGAATATGCTTCCAAGTTTTCCCTACAATCGATTATTTTGTCATGGTTAAATGAGAATTCAGGCTCTTATTTTGTAGTCTTAGCTATGGGATTAAAAGAAATATACAGAAGTTATTTCTTACATTGTTTTTGCCCTTTTTATTTTGGGAAGGGGACTTATTGTTTTTTAGCATGTAGCAACAATATATCAAGACTAAAATCTGAGCAATAGTTATTAATTTCCAGAGAAGTATCTTTTTACATCACTTCAATTATTGAAAGAGATTAAGAGAAAGAACCTTAGCGAAAGTGGGAGCTTTGGGAAGATGAGGTTTCCTCAAATAAGTTGGGAGGGTGACCATGTAGAACATGTCTCCCCAGTTAAGCTTCTGCTCTTCACAAACAACAAACCGCCTGCCCAAACCCTCGATGTCATCTGGTTTTTGCCAAAACTTCTTCTTCTCTTCCATTGGGAGATTGAAGAACTCTTGGATCTCTAACTTCACGTTTTCCACCAATAAAGTGCTCACTTCGTGGTTGATTAACTGCAACAGCTCCATATTTCAAAACCCAAAATTTCACGCAGTCCTGCCAAATCTCTGTCTAAATTTTTCTTACTAGTTGATGACTTAAACCTTCGTTAACTATTTAAGCACTGCATCTTTTATCCCAAAGCTTGATATATATCCATATATGTTAATAGTGGCATTTTTCTTTTGAAAAGTGTTAATAGTGACATTTACTAAGCCTAAACGGAAATTTCAAGCTGCAGATAATAGGAGAAAACAACTAAAGTACCTGAAGAAACCCCACTCTTTACATGCCCGTTGCAACTGTTCCAGCTCGAGATCCTTAAATTCTTCAGAAACAACTTTTGCATATCTATAACAGGGACTTGTGGCAACGAATTGGTGTCAGATAAGATGGGAGGCTCTTCATCAGTGCGAACGTATCGAGGTGGAACTTTTACTAATGGCCCCTTTGCTAGCTCCTGAACACAAGGCACCAAGAGAGAGCTCCCTAGCTTTGCCACCCCTGAGTCCATAGCTTTGCAAATGTACAAACTCCTCTCCCTGGAATATATCTGGGTTCTCAAAAAAGTCCAAAGAAATAAAATGAGAACGGGTGCCTATGCCTGAGTGCCTCAGCCCCGAGCTTACTTAAAGACTGCAGGATAGCCTTTTTATTTTTTTTTCTTGTTAATTTCTCTATGTTCAGAGGTCGAATTATATCATACCTATGGAATTAAGATTTCAAGTTAGTAGGGATAAAAATAATATTTTTTAATATTTACAAGGGTAAAATTTTAAAAAAAATTTAAAAAAAAGACAAAACTATAAAATTCATTAAAACTCAAAGAGAAACTGTAAAATTTGAAACCTTTGGTTGGTGGGCGGGGCCCTTAGCAGCTCTCCGCCCTCTGCTCACCGTCATCTTTATGCCGTGCTGTCCTTCACTCAATATTTACGTTCACGGTACGAGCTTTTGAATTTTTAAGCCTTTCTAAAATTCAAACACCTAATATTCACTCCAAAAAAAAAATCACCTAATATTTTACAGATTTGATTGTTTTTGTATAATTTGACCGTGTCAATATCGTAGTAAAATATACCACAGATCAAAGGTATGTAGACCAAAGATTTAGCCTGACCCTTCCTTTCGTTAGAAAAAGAAAAAGAAAAAAACTCTTACGTTAAATTCTATATTTTCCTTCCCTTCAATCGTGTATATGGGTTCAAAGCGGTTAAAGATTGTATTGCTCTATTTCAGTATTTCACCTTTTAAATGATTAAATTTTGCATCAAGTAGACATCCTGACTTTGATTTGCAAACATTGATGGTCTGTTGAAGATAGTAGAGTAGTTGTGAATAAGGGTGAGCAAATAGATGAATTAGATAGTTTTATCCATCATACTTAAAGATCAAATGAATCAAATATTTTTAAAAAATTGATCAAAATCAACCAAGTATAAATGACGATCAAATATAAAATTGGTTTGGTTGGTTTGGTTTTAGACCTAAACTTTTATCACTTTTCTTAACAAATTATAATATTAAAACTTATAAACTTTATCTATAATTATATTATATACAAATTACATATGAATTAAATATAAGTATATATAATATATTACTTTATTATATATATGAAATTAATAACACAACTTATATATTATAATATTTTAATTTTTATATCACAATTTGTATAAATAATAATTGATTATAAATAATATGTTATAAAAATTAAGACAATAACTAAAATAATTATTAAGTGTAATCACATAAATAAAGTCTACTATAAGTGACAGTAATACTTATATATAAATTAAATATATATATATATATAATATATTACTTAATTATATATATGAAATTAATCACACAATTTATATGTTATAATGTTTTATATTAAAATTTGTATAAATAATATGTCATAAAAACTATGGTGATAATTAATAAAGTTATTAAGTGTAATCATATAAACAAAATTTATTATAAGTTATAATAACACTTATGCATAAATTAAATATATATATATATAATGTTTATACAATTATATATATATTCATGACATTTTATATTATGAAACATTACTAAAGTGTAATAATTATAATATATTAATATGTAAGATATTTACTATCATATATTATAATATTAACATATAAGTTATATCATTTAAAATATATAACTTGTAATTTCATATTAATACAAATTTATAAATATATATAACCAAAATTAAATGATTATGATTATGATCTGTATATGTACATATAATAAATTAATATATTTTAAGTATATTATTAATTTTAAGTTTATTATCAATTCTTTTTAACGTATATATAAAAAATATTTTATATATTAATATATATAATATTATAAAAAATTAATTTAGTTTTTTGAGTGGATTGGTCTAAAAATTTTAAAATTGACAACCAATCAAAAAACTAATTGGACTAAATATTTTGGACCAATTGATTCAATGAGCCAATTAGATTAAATCGTTTTACCCAAATCGTATAAAACATGTCTCCCCAATTAAACTTTTGCTTGTCGGGGACAACAAATACTTGCTCGAATCCCTCAATATCCTCTGGTGTTTGCCAAAATTTCTTCTCTTCCATTGTTAGATTGAAGAACCCTTCAATCTCCAACTTCAATTTTTCCACTAATGCAGTGCTCACTCCATGATTGATTAACTGCAACAAGTTTCCATATATATGTCATTCAAACACAAATTTTCACAACGTCTAATCAAATCTCGATTTATAGTGTCTTTCATAATGAAAAAATTTTAATATATCATTGAGACTTTTTTATTAATCAATGTTATTATTATCATCATTTTGTGCGATATCGATGAAGATATCAAAAATTTAAATGAAAAACATAATTATATATATAAAAGTTTATCTCATATCGAACAAGAGTATAATTAATAAAATTTAATGTAAGAGTTCATGTCCAGTTATATTTGAAATCAAGACGTTGCAAATTAAATGATATCTATAATGGAATGGTATCATTTACAGGTAGAGCCTGAACATAAATATTCAAGCCGCTAGATAAAGGGGAATATTTAACTATATTAACATCTGGAAGAAACCCCAATGTTTGCATGCATGGTGCAATTGCTCCAGCTCCATATCCTTGAGATCCTTGGAATAATGTAGTTTTTGCATGTCAATGACGGGCACTTGGGCCAAAACTAGAACTAGTGTTGGATATGAAGGGAGGGTCTTCATCAGTGCGCACGGATTGGGGTGGAACTTTAACGAGTGGCTCCTTTGCAGGCTGTTGGACACAAGGCACCAAGAGAGAACCACCTAGGTTTGTTAACTGTGGTTCCATAGCTTTGAAAGTTAACACTCCTCTTTAGTTGGTTTCTCACAAATTTAAAGATGAACAAATTCTTGATGTTAATGCGAGTGCCTGAGCCCACATATACATTCAAGAGCATGACATTTTTTTCACTACTTTAAGCTTTCACATTTTGTTCATGGTCCGCTAAAAGCTTTAAAGCTTGACTACGCATTGATGTGTTTTTAACTTTTGGCCAATCGTTATCAAAGCACCTTATATAAAAGCTAAAAATTTGTTTTTGTGATTATGATGAATCAGTATTTGTGCCTGGCTGCTTGCCAAAGAGTATGTGGCAAAATGAAACACGCATCAAAAAATAGAGAGAGACAAAATAGCTAGCCTAACTAACGAGCTCCGGCTTGGTCAAAAACAAATTTGTTTACGCCATTGTCTCACCATTTGTGATTTACCTCACAAAAATTCCTTTTCAACTGACTGCTTTAAGGTTTTATTTGTTGGAACCTCTCTTATAATGGTTGGAAATCATGCAAAAATACAAACGGAACACTTCTGTCTGTAAATGATTGGGAAAGATCTTTTATCCACAAAAATTATCCTTCGGTAAATGTTTCATGATTTTAATTTAAAGACGTTAATGGTTTTTTTTTTGTGACAACTTTCCAGCCAAATGGTCTCCCTTCTGTGAAAAATTGGTCATAAAGTTGTTGTAAAAGGCTAACTAGAAAGTCTGTATCTCGACGGATGTTTTCTAAAAGATTTCATTCACTTAAGAAAAAAAAAGATTTTTAATTGTGTTCTTGTTATTATTATAATAAAAAATAATGGTCTATAAACTATCCTTCTTTGCACATTTTTTAAAATCAGAAATTATGTAAAAACGTAAATATTCATTTTGGTAGGAAAAAATAAATCAGGAAAATATTCTTCTTATTTTTCAAATGAAGCTACACAATTTTAAAATGATTTTTTTAAAAAAAAATCCTCCAAAGTTTCACAATTTAAAAAAAATTAAAAAAACTCTCTCAATAGAGTTTCATAATTTTAAAATTTTATATAAATAAATATATATATATATATATATATATATATATATACATATTTCTTCAACGATATTCCACTACATGAAAAAATTAACATAGATGCTCCCCTGATGAGGTTTGATGACTTTGAATGAAAATTTTTTAAAAAAATACTCCTCAATACTCACAACTTTAAAAGAATTTAAAAGAATATATTTCTCCCAGCGTCTTCATGACTTTGAAAGAATTTTTTAAAAAAACATTCCTCTAATGAAATTCCACAAATTTAAAAGAATTAAACCTACAACTCTATTTATATCTTTATCTCGTATTATACCTCACCCTATATTAATATTCTCCTCTATTTACAAGCTCACTGACTTGCCCACCAATAATCTCTTTCCTCTTAGAATTCTTGCCTAAAATATCTTCTTTTCTTGTCTATCAAATAAACTTGAATATCAAGCAATATCTTCCAATAAATTAAAAATTTATCCAAATTATCTTTTGAGATTTGAATAGCAATTTCTAATAAATATAAAATAGAAGGATATGAACTTGTGATATGTAAGAAGACATATTCATGATTAGACTTTGAAATTTCATTTTGGATTCCAATTTAAATTTTGAAATGAGCATGATATAATTAAGCCATAATATACAAAATGTTTTTAAACTATTTAAAAAAATTTAAATAAGTTTTTATACTTTTATTGCGTTCAATCAAGTCCTTGTACGATTATTTTGAGCAAAATAAACTCTTATATATTTATTTTGAATTAAATAAACACTTATGATTAATAAATGATTTTATTAAAATATTATTTATTATTTTATGTCTCGTAACGCTATGTGGTATGTTAAAATATCATAATCGATAATAACATGACATATTGATATATCATAATCGATGATGATATGACATATTGATTTAAAAAAATAACATAATCATGTAATATTTTTCACAATCCACATCAATATCATATCAGTGTCATATATATATATAATAATAAATGATATTTTATTAATAGTATTTAATCAGTAATTAATTATGAGAGTTTATTTGATCTAAAATAAAAATATAAAAATTTAATTAAATATAATAAAAAATAAAAAATTATTTAAATATTTTTTAATAATTTAAAAAAATTATTTAAATATTATACCTTCATTAATTATGGAATCCAAAAGAGTAATGGTAACCTCATATGAAGGGAATAAATAGCTCGTGAACAATATTAGAGGCGTTTTTC